TTACATTCTCTTTTGTTTTGTGGTCAGTGGCATTGTTTTGATAATTTGCCGCTGATGTCATCAATGTTCCCTGAGATTGTGAAGCTAACTGAAGCACTACTCTGTCTGAAGCTCAAATTAGACTTTATCTGAGCTTTATTTTAACAGAGGTGACTTAATTGGAACTAAAGACATAAAATTACAGACACAAACTAACCCTTGTGTTCGTGATGTTCCAGCTCCAGAGAGAAGACAGCCCTGGGCCCTTCACCTCTGGGTCAACGCTGGCACCTCAGCAGGTAAGACTCATTTACATGTGTGTTGGATGGACATACTGTATATCCCATTATTATCGCTGTTTAACTTGTATATAATTACATTAAAGCTCTATTTAAGTTACATAATATGTCTGCATGGTTTAACCTGACATGACCTTCAGTTGTTCATGTATTGGAGGTATATTCTGTATGTAGCTCATGTTTATTACTGACTCTGCAGATGCCTTCAGAGCAACGTGGAAGCAGTGAGACAGCCCAGTGCACCCTCCGCTGGACATGCTCTCAAAGTGCACTAATTTCAAGCCTACAAATGTGTGACAAAAAAGCACACAACTTGACAAACATTTAAATGCTCTTGTGTAAACACTTGGGGCAAGAAATACAACAGGAGATGCACTGTTTCTTACCAAGCACTGATGAAGAGGAAGATGACCAAACTTGCCTCCTCAAAATAAAGGCTTTTAAATATTTTCTAACAGAGTACCCTTTTTCATGAGCATAACCTTAGTTATAGGGATACCATCAGCTCCCTGTTTTTGTACTCTTGTTTTTTTGTAATGGTTCTCACGTAAGAATCATTTCACTGTCTGTATTTTAAAATGCATTCTCATATTATTAATAGACAGAGGTTATTACAAATACTTAGTTCATTGGGGCATTGAAAATTGACCAAGTGAGGGGGAAATGTGTAACATGGAGATAAATGTACATGACTAAATTAGAGAAATAAGAGAATAAGAAGAACCCAGATGACATGAAAATATTGTGTTCACAGTCCTCACTTTCTGTTTGCAATTTATTTGAAAGGTCTGATATTGAGACCTCTGGTTGTACTGACGGTGTCCAGAATAGTTTTTAAGGTTTGTTAGTAGATGATGATGTTGACACAATTGAACTAAACCAAACCTCATCTTATTTTCCGCTGGACTAAGTGTTCCATGTGAAGGTATACCACTGGCCAACCAGTCAGAAAACTTTAGTGTCTGCAAAACACCAATGAGTCTTGCACAACATGCTATATAGTGCTTCTGCGGATTTACCATTTTGTTAAACATCCATGTTATTAGGTTCTTTTTTCAGACCAAGAGTTTGTTTTCATACCTGACAGTTTCGACTGCTCACTAGCGGTGGTGGTCACGTGATGTTGCTGTGACGTGTCTGGTCAGCTGATTTTATAAGGTTTTGGCACTGTCTTCCTACCAGTGGAGGCAGGACGACAGCGTCATCTGCAGCGCCAAAAATTCTCGGAAGACCAAATGAACCTCATCGGACGATTGTCAAACATCCACTGCTTTTTTTCAGAAATCAAAAGTGGTTCTTCATTTAAGGCACTCACATACTCCAAAAACCTTCAAGGGATATTTATTTTGTTTGTTTTTTGTCTTGTTTTGCTCCTAAGAAGAGTTATAAGTATTAGGGAAAGATGCTATGTCATTATTATTAACTCATTACAATTAAAAATGGACCTTCTGTCATATCTTGTGGACCATTAATGCAATAAATAATTTCACTGTATCCAAAATGAGTGCTTATCTTTAGTGCCTTCATTACCCTAAGCCGACATCACTTACCTGATGCAAAGTGCAGTAGTTTCATTAGTGGGAAGCATGCAGATAGTATTGTAATAGTGCTCTGAAGGCCCCCTGTTTCAGCTTCACAACATGTTTGTAGAGATGTAAGCTCCAGGATTAGCAGTGCAGATATACTGTACACAACATGACTGTACAACTATAAAGACACAATACATTCTGACCTTAAGACAGACGCAACTGAGCATTGCCAGCAAAATGGTGTAATTATAACTTTTGTTTTATATTTATCGTAGTAGAAGCATGTGTAATATACTATTTAATATGACATTATCACTATGGCCTTAAAAGAGAATACCTTATTCCTTTGCACATACAATATTTAACTGTTGTCAGAATGAGCATTAGGTCATAGTTTGTGAAAGCAATGACTGAAAACAATGGATATGTGAATTGTCTGTTCATGTGTATATATAAATGTTGTTGTTTTTGTTGCACAGTTGCGCCAATAAAGAAAGTATTCAAAAATGGTTAATGTCTGTTTTAATTTTACAGAAAAGACTTTTAATTTCTAAGTGAGTCTATTTGTTATATTATATCAATGAACTATGATAGGTTTTTAATCATAAATATTACAAAACAGAACAGTATGAATGGGGCTAAACTGTGACTTACTCGTTATAATTACTTCTTTCTTTTTTTATGTAATATGTTTAATTTTCACACACAGATCTGGCTTTATAAATCATGTTTGTAGTTGAGTTGTGGACTTACCAGACTCTCTCTATCCAGCAGATGTTTCAGCAAATGCTCCTAAAACTGTGGATGACCTACAACCAAAGTAAGTTATAATGTCTTCAAGCATCTCTTCTTCCTTCCTCCAGACACAAAGGTAAGGGAAAGGTTAGGTCAATACCAATATATTTCTACAGAAAATACCACATTAAATTCTAATATTTGAACAACTTTATGCCTCTACACACAACTACACCAAAATCTGATTCTACTCTGATTTCTGGAACCTACTCAAATGGCATGTAGACAGTAAAATCTGTTATGAGTATTCAGAGAGACCATGATCACAAAGAAATGAGTTGATCTGGCTTTTTATGTCATTTAAATAATCTTATAACTCCAAAATTCTGTCAGATTTTGAACGTGCATGTAACCCCAGCCATGAATAGATGACCCTCTACTACAGCTCAGTACAAATGTTATTGTACTCCAAAAATAAGTAATAAGGGCAAAGAAAAAGCTTATAAGCACAACATATAAGCACAAAAAATATAGCATTACTTCAAAATAATAACACTCAAAAAAGAAGAACATAGTAGAAGCCCAATAAATTACTCAAGATTAAAAAGTATTTGAGGAAAGATACCACTGAAGTAAGAGTAACTTAACTTAATCTGATATTTTCAAAGGATAGACACCAAAATGAGACAAATTAAATCAATCTGAAGGACTGCTGCAAGAAACACAAATGTTCAAATCATTTAATATTGTCAACGTAAAGCTTTAGTCACTTGTGGACTTACTCACAGTGGGAAGAAAGTACAATATCTTTAAATAGCTACTCAAGTAAATGTATTGTAATCCTTGTGACAGGCCTGCCCTAGTCTTGATGTATGTCTAACACGATGATTTAGGACAGTTATGAGCTATTTATGAGCTGTTTCAACTGATAAATACAAAAGTGTTGGTGGTAAAATAATGTCTCCTACGTTTATTTCATTGTTGTCATCTGTTGTCACCGCTCACTTGACACGGAGTCTGTGGTTTTACACAGGGTGACCAGATTTTCAAAATAAAAAACGGGGACATTCCTGGTTTGTGGTGGTTGGTAATAATAAAATTGTGAAACTAGTGCGTAATTAAGGAAAATTGTTACACACTCAGCACTAATGAGAGTCAGTATTGTCACGTTTTCTTTGTGTTTTGGTCATTTTTAAACAGCTTTTCTGTATTTTACCTAAACAAATGACAATTCATGCCTCTCTTTACTGATGGCAGGGACCAGATTGGTCAAAAATAGGGACACCTGGGACATTTCTTGGGACAAATCACTGGTTTTGGATACATCTGCAGGGACAGTGGACACAAGATTCAAAACTAAGACTAAATACGCTTGGTCACCCCACTCTATATTGGTGCTGTTCACAACTTTTGTATTCATCTTGTTGGAGTTTTTTTTTTTTTTTTTTTAATTGTCACTGAAAGTTCAAAATATCATTACAGAGGTGCAACAGCCAGTGTTGGGGAGTAACAGATTACATGTACTGGAGTTATGTAATCAGAGTAAAAATGATGAGTAACTGTATTCAGTTACAGTTACTGTTTCAGTGAGTGGTAATTGGATTACAGTTACTTTGTTGAAATAAATACAGCGGTATTTTCATGTTTTCACATTTCAGGCTTTATCCCCCTTTATTTAAAAATTTTTTTAACGGTAATTCCACTCATTGCCAAACACTAAACCAGGACTAAACCAGATCTAAACCAGGACTAAACTGAGACTAAGACAGGACTAAACCAGGTCGAAACAGGGTCTAAACTAGGTCTAAACCAAGACTAAACCAAGACTAAACCAGGTCTAAACCAGGTTTAACCAGGTCTAAACTGAGACTAAACCAGGACTAAACCAGGTCTAAACCAGGCCTAAATCAGAACTAAACTGAGACTAAGACAGGACTAAACCAGGTCTGAACCAGGTCTAAACCGGGTCTAAACTAGGTCTAAACCAAGACTAAACCAAGTCTAAACCAGGACTAAACCAGGTCTAAATCGGGTCTAAACTAGGTCTAAACCAAGACGAAACCAGGTCTAAACCAGGACCAAACCAGGACTAAAACAGGTCTAAAACAGGATTTAACAGTACTAAATCATGCTGCATGGACCGTGTTTCCTCCTCTTCTATCAATAATATTTTTAATAAGGTTAAGTCTGGGCTTTTTTATTTTCTTTTATCAGACAAAACATCTTATTTTAACAATTCCTCATCTTTGCTTCTCTACAGCAAATCAAGTAATCCAAAGTATTCAGATTACATTACTCACTTTAGGTAATGTTATGGATTACGTTACAAACTACATTTTGGGATATGTAATCTGTAATCTGTAGGGGAATACATTTTAAAAGTAATTATGATAACAACAAACAAAATAGACTGAAAATCCGTCCTCGTTTTCTATTGGCTGTTAGGTTGTCAATCAAAATCCTTACGTTTCCGGCGCCAAAGACTCTGTTTACTCAACCAACACAGAGTTTCTTAGCGGCTTTTTCAAACTGTAGCTTCCTCACAGCCAGTACAAAGTTTGTTATAATGTCAAACCTGAATCCAGTACCACTTAGCCGCAAAAGAAAGTCCGTTTTTGAGGTTGCTGAAAGAAGAAGAAAAGGAGAGAAGGAGCGAAGCAAAACTAAGGTGATTCTTGGAGATTGCTTCCAGCGATGGCGCGCGCTGAAGCAGAGGAACGGTCTAAAGACTGACGCGTTGGTCGCTAAATTACTTCTGGACAGGTCAGTTCAACAGCAATTCTGAAGTGCACCGGTGTAAACAAGCATGATTTTAACGTAACGAGGTAGGAGGAGGTGTTTCTACTTAGGTCAACAGTCGCTGTATTTTTCTTTCCTTGGAAAATCCACTATTCAACCTCTAAAAACGTGCTGTGTAACTTTTCTGATGAAGATTCCTCCACCTGTTTGTCTCCATGTTATTGCATTACCCGATCTCTTCCACAGTATGATCTATTCAGTGATCAGTGTTGGGAAGGTGACTTTTAAAATGTATTCCCCTACAGATTACAGATTACATACCCCAAAATGTAGTTTGTAACGTAAACCATTAAATTACTTAAAGTGAGTAACGTAATCTGAATACTTTGGATTACTTGATATTGTTATGCCTTTGAAAACAACATGAATGTAACAACAACATACTCAAAATTCTTGTTTGTTCTCTTCAAATTGTCTGTTGAGCCCAAGTCTCCATGAACAGACTTTTGTTTACTGTAGAGAAGTAAAGACCAGGAAATCTTAACATGAGATATTTGTTTTGTCTGCTAAAAGAAAATAAAAAGCCCTGTCTTTACTTAAGCATTTTAAAAATATTATTGATAGAGAAATTGATTTCTATATGAAATCACTGCTGCCTTAAATTATGTCCACCCTACTGTTAGGTGTCATATTGTCTAGACCAGGTTTAGTCCTGCTTTTAGACCTGGTTCAGTCCTGGTTTAGACCTGGTGTAGTCCTGGGTTTAGTCCTGGGTTTAGTCCTGGGTTTAGTCTTGGTTTAGGCCTGGTTTAGGCCTGGTTTAGGCCTGGGTTTAGGCCTGGGTTTAGTCCTGGTGTAGTCCTGGTGTAGTCCTGTGTAAACAGGAAAATCCCGCTGTGTAATCCATTTATTTCAACAAAGTAACTGTAATCCAATTACCACTCACTGAAACAGTAACTGTAACTGAATACAGTTACTCATAAATTGTACTCTGATTACGTAATCCCAGTTACATGTAATCCATTATTCCTCAACACGGTCAATGATATATCACCATATTATCATCACTGGTTGTCATGGAAAGAGATGTGTTTAATACTGTGAAACAATGCATAGTGTGGAACATTCTAGGTAAAGCAATATCCAGAATAATAGTGGCGTAGTACACCTTTAACTTGGACTTGCCTGTCTTCATGAAATGTGGTTGTATGGACCTGGTTTTGACTCTAAAAGGCCACACGGGGGCGCTTTGTTTTTATGGTGGTTACAGTTATGAGAACTTCACCTCTACTCAGAACCCACAGCAACCCACATCCAGCGCTGGAACACCATCTGAAGCTGACAAGTGAGTCCTGGCCTAGTTCTGTTGTCCTGCTTTAGACCTGCTTTGTACCTGCTTTAGTCCTGTTTTGTCCTGGTCTAGTCCTGGTTCATATCTGGCATAGTCCTTAACATTAATTATAAATAGTCTATTTTATGGTGTGACCAGACAAGGTTTGCACAACTGACCAAAAATTTAAATTGTTATAATATATTTTTGTAACATATTAATCAGTTATAATGATAGATATTTAATTGAATAATCGAGTTACAGATGAAAAAAGATGGATACACCTTGAAAAACCTTGAGATACAATATTTAAGATTGTTGTTTGATGATTTTTTTGGTCTGAATGGAAACAAAACTTAGCCAGGCTGGTGCCACCTAGTGCCTCCAGTCAGGTCAGGAATCGGAATACACTAAACGGTTTGCAAGAAGCCTGGAAGTGCGAGTTCAGGCACCAGCCAGTCAGCGAAGAGCCATACATTCTGTGTTGGCAACGATTCCCGAGATCGAGGATTTAAAGCCAAAACAAAGAGAATGTTTGGTGAATTTTATCAAGGGGAAAGACGTTATTGCCCTTCTTCCTACGGGATTTGGAAAAAGCTTGATATACCAGTTAGCAGTGATTGGTTATATAAAAATAAAATACCTACCTACTGTCGAGCAAATGAATCCTAATGCTGCGATGGTTTAAACAAAGTGAAACCGGCTGATGAATCAGGCTAAACAAAACTGTCCATTCAGATCAATCTACTGTATAATAGTTATAATACTTGGATGTATTGATTTGACAGAACCGCATATCGTTGTGTTTCATTTTGCAGAGTCGTGAAGGCGCCTGTCCCATCTGTACCTGAGCCTGAGCCCACCCCTTCCTCTGCTCCGTCTGCACATGTGTTACAGTGAGGCTTAATGCTGTTAAATGTGGATCTTTTTGACCCCGTGGTATTACTGTATTTTAATGTAAACTCCCTTTTCATGTGTTGATCAGGTGCCCATCGTGTGGTTTTGTTTTACCTTCAAACAGAAATACTTTGGACGAAACGCATCAGGCCCAAACTATCGAAGTCACAGTGGAGGTAAAACCAGAATAAAAACAAATGTACATTCAGGTTTTCATTACCAATACTTTGCAGCTGACGTCAGAAAAAATTTCTGTGGGTGTGAAGTTAACTGAAAGCACTACTCTGTTAGAAGCTCTGTTACACAAATTAGGCTTAATCTGAGCTTTCTTTGAACACAATCTGTCCAGAAAAAGCTGACTTGGTTGGAACTACAACAAATAAGCTGATTAGTCACTTTTTTATTGAAAATCAAACACCTGAACAGGACCATGAATGCTCGTATTGATCACAGGCTCCTGAAAATGTGTTGCTTAAATCCATTTTGTATTTTTTTTTCATGACTTTTCAGACAATCTTAAAACTTTTCTGCCTGTGTTTGCTACTGTATGCATTGTGTCACCATGGTAACTGATTAACATTCCACCATAGAGACGCATATAGAACACCCACAGCGTATTGTCACAGCAACGGATCAATACAGTTTATCCTCACAGCTGGAGCAGTCAGAGGAGTCGATGAGCGGAGCAGAGGGAGTGGACCAGAGTGATGGAGAGACTGAACAAGAAGAAGAGGAGGAGGAGGAGGAGGAGGAAGAGGAGAGTGAGGGATCGGCCGTGGACTGGAGGAGCACAATTCAAAGAGAGGAAAAGAGAGGAGACAAGACAGGTGAGGAACTCTGGAGTAAACAAATTTATGAATCCTGATTATATTCTGATCTATACTACCGGTCAAAAGTTTTAGAATACACATATTTTTCCAGTTATTTATAGCAATTCAAAGTAGTGCAAGTCCAATGAAGAGCTTGGAATAGTACAAAGTTAAATACTGAACAGCCAAAGGTTAATAAAAAAGATAAAAGCACAGTCTCCAAACTTAAACCCCATTGAGCTTTGGGATGAACTGGACAGAAGAGTGAAAGAAAAGCAAACTACAAGTGCCACACATTTATGGGAACTTCTGCAACTGACTTCGGAAGAACTTTCTGAAGAATATTTGATTTTTATTGTAAAAAGAACAAGCCACAAGCGTGTTCACCTGTTATATCTGCCAAAGGTGGACATTTTCATGAATCAAAAATACAAAAGTAAACTGTAAAAAACTGGAAAAAGTGTGATGTTCTAAAACTTTTGACCCTTAATGTATGTTATAATGTTGTTTCCTAATCACAAACATATCTGGAGTTGTGTTTTGTTTCATTCACACTTGCTTAATTAACACACAGACTTTGCATATTTAGGCTGAGTTCTTCTCTCAAATTGAAAACACTCTGTTCCACCTTGTGATGTCATGTGGTAATATGGGAGGTAGGATAGACTCCACTGTGTTTTTAAACTCCATACACCTTCACTAGAATCATTTGGATAATTTCAGCCGTGGAATTACCAATCACCAATGAACTAAAGGTAAAAGATATCTTTAAAAAATTACCACTTCATGACATCACAAGGTGGAACAGAGTAATTTGAGCTTTGGAGATGTACACATAATAATAAAAAATAATAAATAATTACTCAAACAAGTGTTAATGAAACAAAACACAACTCCAGGTATGTTTTTGAGGAGGTAACAACATTATAACATGACTTAAAGCTCACGAGAGTCAATTTTACTTAATATTGGACCTTTAAAAACAAGTCATTAGGGATGTAAGAATAACCAAAATATCGTGATATCGTATTGTCAACCATCACAATATACTGAATTACAAGTCTCTTTGCTTAAATTACGAGTTATGGTGCAGCAATAACTAAAAAAAGAAAAAGAGAACTACATAGACCATGATCCTTTGCTCCATTTTAGTGCAGACTACATGAAGAAATAACAGTTCTAAGCACTTTTAAGTCTTAGTTCTTTGGATTAAGTCAAGGCATTTTAAGAGGTAAAAATTGCATATTAACTGTTTTGTTAACCTTCACAAAATATCGCAATAAATATCATACAGAGAGATTTGGATATTGTTACATCCCTAATCGTGAGCCTCCCCACCATATCGTGAGCTTTCCCACGATATAGCAATAAATATCGTACCACGAGGTTCATACCGTGACAATATTGTATTGTGAGGCGTGGATATCGTTACGGCCCTGCAAGCCCCTCATTTTCAGCCACCCCCACCCCTCATTTTTAACATGGTAATCTGTAATATTGTTTTTTCAGGTGCATCACAGAAGCAGCTTTGCACCGAGTGTGGAGAGCTTTACAAGAAGAGCCACACATGTGATCACAAAACCAAACCCTACGTGTGTAACATCTGTGGCCGAAGATTCATCTCAGAACCGGCGCTCAAAATTCACAGCAACATTCACTTGGAAACCCACCAGTACCACTGCAAATACTGCTACGTCAGTTTCAGGACTAAAGTGGACAAAGTAGCACATGAGTTAATCCACCTGAAACAGAAGGATCCATTCAAATGCCCAGATTGCGCGTTGACATTTCCAACACACAAGAAAAGAGATGCTCACAAAAAGCAACACGGCGATAAGTATAGGTGTAAATTATGCGGGATCGGGTTTAGAGAACAGCAGAAGTTTCTGAGACATGTTGTCGTTCATACGGGAGAGAGGAGATTCAAATGCTCCCTGTGCGAATGGAGTTTCAAACAGGAAAGTCATCTCAAATCTCACATGCGTCTTCACACCGGAGAGAGGCCCTACTGCTGTAAACACTGTCACAAAGCTTTCAGTCATAATGTGAGTTTGAAGAGCCATGTGCAAAAGTATCACCCGGAGGAGAAGGATGAAAGGGAGGAGAAGAAGAAGGTGGAGGAGAAAGAGGGAGAGAGCATAGAAATGAAGAGGGAGGAGGGACAGACTGCGGTGAAGCCCAAACGGAGAATCCCATCCACTGGTCGTCCAACTGGGAGACCAAAAATGAACCCAGACGGAGAAAAGAAAGCCACCAAAACAAAAAGGCTAAAGACACAGGACAGTGATGATGAAGAGTTTTTGTAGTGTCGTCAGGTTACTAAATGGTACGATACTCAATACCAGTTCTGATACCACAATAATAACAAAAAAAATTGTTATACTTTCTTTTCTGTTACTATAACAAGTGGCCTTATATTTTTCAGTCGTTCAGGTACGTTCCATGCGAAGGTCTGTAGTGGTCAGGTTTGTGGAAATGCAAGCCGCTTTCAGGGATGTGTGTTTTTCAGTTCAGCAATCAAAACTAAAACTAAGAAAATATGCTTTTATTGTTGTATAATTTTGTTTTTAAAAGTTTCATACTGTGGCTTTAAATAAACAATTGAACAGCTACACTTTGGTTGTGATTCGATAATTGTCTTGAGAACCAAAACACCTACCAATAATCATGTCCAATGTTTTTATAACTAAGAGTAAAAGCTGTATGTTTCTGACAAGTGTCATTCTGCCCTCTACAGAACAATCAGGGGAACTGCAGCTGAAAATTTAATTCAGTTTTTTAGGCACAGATTTTAGATTTTATCATATAAAAATAAACATTTACTGAATACAAGGAGTAAATCAGAAGTTAACACAATACTTTTACTAAAGCTTTTTATAACATTTTGTGCAATTCTGTGTACAGTGTCAAACTGTCAGTTTTTCAAAATGACCAGAGAAAATAAAAAATATACATCACAGTTAATAAGGGTGCACTCCCTGGTTGTCTCCATGGAGATGTGATTGCGTTGCCTGGAAAGTTCCACAGTATGACATTAAAATCTGATTCATTATTGCGTTTCAGAGGTGGGACCAAGTCATTGTTTTGCAAGTCTCAAGTAAGTCTCAGTTGTTTGACCTCAAGTCCAAGTCAAGTCCCAAGTCAAATACAGGCAAGTCCAAGCTGAGTCTCGAGTCACTGACTCATAAGTCCAAGTCAAGTCCAGGTCGTCTGCTTTGAGATTCAAGTCATTTCATATCTAAACCAAAGTACAAATTGTAGGTTAGATTTTTGCAGTTTATGTGAATTTTAAGATAAATTGTACTTAAAAAGTCATGGTATATTAATATATGAGAATTTATATAATAATAGCAGAAATGTAAATTTTTCCTTTTTAAATGCCTTGACAAGATTTTAGTGTGAATCACTACGATCGGAAATGAAAGAATTCAGATTTAAAGGTGCTTAATAACAGTTATGTATGAAGCGTGTAGTCTGCACTGAAATGGAAGGATCACGCTCCACGTAGTTCCCTCTGTTTTACTGTATATTATTGTATCGTACTGCATTGTACTGTATATTACTGTAGTATATTTGAGTATCGTAGTACTTCAGTACAAAACAGAAGTGGGAGGGGCATGTTCCAGTTTGTTCCTGTAAAATTCAACACCACATGTATCAACTGTAGAGAGAAAAGTATTTTATAAAAACATATATTTTTAGTAAAAGCATCAAGTCTTCTCAAGTCAAGTCCCAATTTACTGACCTTCAAGTTCAAGTCAAGTCCCAAGTCTTAGTCCATTTTATCAAGTCAAGTCTCAAGTCCTAAAAATAGTGCCTCAAGTCTGCTGCGTTTATATCAGCTACAGGGGTTTAACTGCTCAAAAATGCCTTGAAAGACATACATTCTTACAGTGAGTGTGGTCACCTCTCCACAGATCTGACCTGTTAACTGGCCTGGGGTTTATCACTAATTGCCTCCATGGAGACAGAGGGCGCAAATGCCATATTGTGGAACATTTTAGACAAAGCATCATCTCCATCAGACACGTGACAGACTCCCCACCAGAAAACTTACACAGTGAAAAACATTGGCCTATTTCAGTGTTTCTCAAACTGTGGAATGCGAGCTCCTTCAGGTGTTACTTAGGCAGCTCTTCAATCTGTGGGTTTTCCTAACTTTAGAGTAGATTTTATCCACTTTTTGGCAAATTTCTTGTTTAGAACTACAGTGGAAATGGTGTAGTCCACTTTTAGACCTGGTTTAATCCTAGATTAAACCTGGAATAGCCCTGTTATAGACCTGGTTTAGATCTGAAGGTGCAAATACTTTCTTTGCTGTAAAAAGTTCCAAAGCGACTGGCCTATCCAATAGACTAGACCTGTTTCGCGTCATCCAGAGAACAGTTTAATAATAGTTTTTGCCATTTGCGTCGCTAGCACCTCCAAACTCAGTCTGTCTTTAACTTCTTCGTGAGCCAGCTTCATGACATCCAAAGAGACTGTCTCTGCAAACGCCATCACCTCCTCTTTCTGCCTGGCGCTGTGTTTTACAGGAGTCTTCAGTGGTCAGTGAATCCATCAGCTGTTGCATCATCTCCACTTTGGATTGGTCAAACTCTGAGCGATCCTGCTCGTCTTTTGGCGTCGGCGGCGGAGGAGATGGCGTGAACTCTTTGGCCAATCCTCCTTTAAGTTTTCTGGTAAAACTCTGTCGATTTTTCACCATTTCGGGGAGCAGAGGGGTGGGTGGAGGGGCATCGGGGTAGTCCAGGGACCCCAGATTTGGCAGTCCAGATTGGGGTAAAGTTGGATAGATTTGCTGTGATGTCTGGTCGCTTTTGCTTGTTTCTTGTTGGTGTGAAGTTGAGTTCTTTTGACTGACTTCCCTCAACGCGGTTTCAATCACGTTCATTGCTAGCGTTTTTGCATGCCTTTCCTTAAAATCCTCATAGTTTTGTATTTCCAATTGGAGAGACTGGATTATTGCGTTTGCCATGTTTTGTGCAAACTTTTCAATGGTCCCTTTGTGCAGTGGGGTTTCCCGGGGGTCTGCCTGGTTTTCTGTGGCAGACATCTTGGATCTCTCTGTATCCAAACCTATGGAAAACAGATCATAATTTGAATGATTTGAAACAATGGAGACATTTTTTGCAGTGCAGAGTCCAGTTTTGGTTTGAATTCTTGCCTTGTTCCTAAAGTTTGTCCAAAGTTTTATGGCAGAATGACCTGCCAACAATACAGTGAGTAAAACAATCCCCAAACATGGTACAATAATTTTGAGACGATGCCACTTGTGAACTTGATGACCAGATTAAAGTGGGGGCATTACACTTCTATGAGGTTTTAAAGGTCCTATATTATGTAAAATGGATTCTTGTGAGATTTAAGCCATGTTATAATGTTGTTCCTCACCAAAAACATACCTGGAGTTGTGTTTTGTTTCATTCACATGTTTGAGTAACACTTTATTGGTATATGGTCACATTTTTATATAACGCTTTTCCACCTTCAAGGCGCTTTACAAGAAGGAACCACTCACCCATTCACACTGGGGGTGAGGTAGGTAACGTGTCTTGCCCAAGGATACAATAACAGCATTCATCTGTGGGAGCTGGAATCACACCAGCCAACCTGTGGTCAGTGGATCTGAAGCTCAACCAATGATGTTTATGTCGAGAATGAGATTCAAACCGCCAACCTTCAGGTCAGTGGACAAACGCTCTACCAACTGAGCTACTGTCACCCTAATCTACATCTCCAAAGCTCAAAATGCTGTGTTCCACCTTGTCATGTAGTGGAAGTTTTCAAGTTAACAGTTACCTTTTACGTTTAGTTCAGTACAGATGGGTGACTGCAGGGCTGAAATCATCCACCACATCCGGCCAACCAAGCCATTTTATGTGTCCCACAAGGGGTTAAACGGTATCATTTGTTATTATGTTGTGACTCTCTGCTGCTACTACATCTCCCACAATGCATCGCAGTTGTTTCCCGTGAAGTGACTGCATCTCGTCACTAGAGAGGCCAAGAAAACTCATCAAATTTCCCCAAAAATGTCCAAGAAAAGAAAAATTGATGCAGAAGGATGGTTATTTCATGAATGTTACTGAAGGAGTAATGTGAATGTTTTAACTTAAACCTTTAAATCAAATCAAATCCACTTTATTTCTAGAGCACATTTCATAAACAAATCAGTTTTCCAAGTGCTGCACAGTACAGATAAAACATAAATATAAAGTAAAGCTCTACTTAACTCTACTAGTCCTCATTAAGACAATAAAACTAGTAAAATCAAATAAGAGCAAGAATACCAGTAAATAATTGAAAAAAGGTAAAAAAAACAAACAAAAAAAAAAACATAAAAATAAACAAAATAAATAAATATTAAATGAAAAATCAAATACAGTCTGATATTACAGTTACAGTTGCAGTCTTAACTTTACAACCGGCCCTTTGATGTGAAAATGAGTTTGACACCCCTGATCCAAATGATTGTAGTGGAGGTGTATGGAGTTTGAAAACACATTGGAGCACTCAGCCTATATGCAAGGTTTGTGTGTTTAGCATTTGTGAATGAAACAAAAAAACAACTCCAGGGATGTTTGAGATGAGTAAGCATAAGCAACATTATACCATAGATCAGAATATAACATAACACATAACATATTTAAATCCCCATGTTACTTTTACTTGAACAAGTCACACAACACATAACACAATAAAACTAATGCACATCACATCAGGTTTGTGAAGTTGTTGTGTATAGTTTTGTGTCATGTTTTGTATATTTATGAAAAATGGCCCTGTGGGAGCATGGGGAGATATAGGCTTGTGGCGGAGCCTTGTACAGGTTCATACTGCTAACTGTAAAGAGTGTTAAAATAGGGCCTGAGAGATCGCTAGATTACTCATACATGCAAGATTACTCATACATGCATGGATGACTTTTAAAACTACTTCAGATATGTTGTTGATGAGAATATGATCGAAGCTAAAAAAAATAAAAAAGCCCTGTTGAAATAGAGGAAGATAAAAACTGTAGAAAGTGAAAGATGAGGTTAGAACAACATTCTCTTTTTAAGTTTTTACAGGAAGTTAAAATAAAACACATGAGAAACCTGCCTGCAAAATCTCCATGTGTGTGTGTGTGTGTGTATATATATATATATATATATATATATATATATATATATATATATATATATATATATATTTAAAGGTGCTGTACTCTGGTGAATGCTTGTTACCATGGAGATGGAATATTAATATAACATTAAAGGGCCCATCTCATGCAAAATCAACTTTCAGAGCTTTCTAAGGGTGATGTGTGGGCCTTGTATATGTCGCCACAGCGTTTTTTCAGATTGATTCTGTGTTTTATTTTAACAAACTGCAGCGTATTTCTGCCACCCTCCCACGTGACAATGAATTAAAGCTGCTACAATGATGACATGGCTAGCTACACCTATGACACGTTTGACATAGCAAAAAAGTGCTTCGCCTCCGCCCCACCTCCACCCTGCATCGGCTGACAATTCCCACATGAACACCTAAACAAAAGCGACAGCATAAGCTCATTGTTCTACACTGCAGTGTACACGATATAATAAGTTTATCTACTAGTGTTTATTAATACTTTACCAATCAGTAATGTTCAGCTGATGTCGACGTGGTGCTTGCGCTTCGTGCACCTCAAAGTCCTCGTCTGATTCTGGGTCCAACACATGCGGCTGAACGCGCTGTGTCACCATGATGAATAAAAGTTTATTCCTACCACTATCAGGGTGCACGTCTGTCTCCCCCTCCCTCCCTGAGATGGCGGAGGAAGGGCGGCTCACTCAGAGTCACGTTTGGAGGGTGGAGCCTGTGTTTTCTCAGGACGGGCGGGGGCATGAGCAATAGTCGGCCTTTCATAGTTCCTGGTCTGTGACTGTCTCCAAGAAATCAGTAAGATTTCATAACTATTGTGTAATGGATGTTCCAAAACCCAAATTGTGCTTGTTTATGTGCAGAAGATACAATGTGGAAATAGTTATTTTCCACGAGATGGGCCCTTTAATAATATTTATACTGCAAATTTTAAAGAGGTGGTATTATGCAAAATTGACTTTCTAGAGCTTTCTACTACGTTGTAATGTTGTAATATCTGAAAAGGTTTTAAATGACATCCATGCACGTTTGAGTAATCTAGTGATCTCTCCTGGGCCCTATTCAAACCCTTACATTTAGCTGTAAAATTCTGTGCAATGCTCTGCTCACAAGCCTACATCATGCACGCTCCCACATCACAGTTTTTAATAAATATACAAAAGCAGGATGTGAAACATACTCATACAAAATACACTACAACTTCCCAAACCTGATGTGCAGTAGTTTTATTTGCATGATGCGCACTGTCTGCTGTGATAGCGCTCTGCAGGGGGAGTGACTCTCAAGGCATGTAAAAATGTAACACGGTGAAGTGTTAACTGTCAGTCATATCAGTGGCTTCACACTTCATGCGCTATGTAACTTTTTTGGTGAAAGCTTGTTACCATGGAGACAAACTGCTGCTCTATAAATCTTGCTTGTTTTGTCTATAGTTTTTTTAAAAATCTTGTGAAGTTAAAAATTTACTTCCTGGTTGAAGGTGGACAGGAGATATGACATACACAGAGGTAATTCCATAACATCAATCATAAAAGCCAAAACTTGTCTAAATTGCACAATAGTTATGATTAGACAAATAAATGGCAACACAAAAATGCCTTCCCTGTGAGCAAATTATCTCTGTATTTTGGTTTTCCGTGTTGATGACATAGGTAGAGGGAATCTGTTATAAATCAGCACTACTTCCTGTATTTTTGTACTTTTCTTTTCAACTTTTTCTCCAGAAACTGCCACATAACTGATGTAAAACTATGATAATTATTGAGCACAGATACTATATCATCAAACCAGGTCAGAATTAGAAAACATGAAAAGCTGTCAAATGTAGGTTTAACTCAGAAACACTGCAGAATGAGTCAAATGAAGAGGAAACAGAGATTCTAACATTATTTTTGAGCTTTAATATGCTGTATGCATTTTCATTTTGTTTTCAAGTTCTTGCACCTGCACAGACTCATCTCATAGGCATGTGCTTTTATCAAAATTATAAAGTTTTACAGAATTTTCTGTTCTTGATAAAACTCCCCCTGTTGTTTTCATATTGACTCAGAATGTTTTAAATTTGTTTTGTTCCAAATCATTTATTTTTATGATGGTAAGGTTTCAATTGTGCATGAAACAAAACAAAACAAAAACATATGGTATATATTTTTTATTTTTCTAAAGGAGGATCTGTCAAATGCTTGTCACCATGGAGATTTTATGCTTTGCTTCTAATGTTCCACAGTATGACATTAAAGGTGTCTTGGCTTGCATTTTTTTTTCAATTATTGGATAAAGATACATTGGCAAGCTCGCCTCAACACAGATCTTACCTGTCTCAGTGGCTCACCTCCTTGTCTCCATGGAGATAGAAACATTTAATGCCACACCGAGGAACATTCTTGGCAAAGCAATAACATGGGGACAAGCAAGTGGCGGACAAAAGACCAGAAAAGTTATACACCACTTTGAGGTCGCATTGTGTTTCTGTAATATTAAAGCCACACTATGGAACTTTCTGGAAATGGCATGTCATCTACATGATTCCCTGGAAATAAAAATTTAAAACCGTACTGTAGATAGACACGTTTTAAGCCATACTGTGGAGTATTATAGCCAAAGGAACAACATTTCCATGGAAACAAACAGGAAAAGACCCTCCTCCAGGCCAAATAAGAGTCAGGTTTATGGAGATGCAAGCCCACTCCGAGTAAGGGCAACTGTTTTTGTTTTTTAGTCAACATCATACTGTTATTTTTGTCTGTTTTTAGTCTAAAAAGTTACATAGTATGGCTTTAAATTGCTTGAGGCTGATTAGGTCTATCTGTTCAAATCAGCAAAAGATCTTTCATTTTACAAACCCAGCAGAGTCATACATACAGAATATTTAAAAATAAAAGCCTATTTAAAACTCAAAAGAAACACAAGGCCCGGGGCTGAGAGAACTTCGACTGGAACAAGGCCAAAATCAACAAACCACAATCCAAGAAATACTTTAAAACATTTACAAAGTTTCACATGATTATAAAAATACAAGTTTGGGACAGAAATAAAAACATATTTGATAAAGTTGAAATTAGACTCACCGTGAGAGTGATAGTTGTGCACAGTTGAATGTTTCTGATGCAAATGAACGAACACGGAAACTTCAAAACCACTTCCTGTGAACTGCAGACTCACTACTGTATCATGTCAGTCTGTTAAAGCCGCACGCTGTCACTTTTCTGGTGGAGGGTCAGCCACATACTCGTCTCAGTGGAGATAGCAGGGCTTGGTCTGTAATCTTCACTGGCATTAAAGTTATTTATCTTCACAGAGGCAAACAGGTGAGAAGTTACAGGTCAGGACTGTGGAGAGGCGACCCCGCTCACAGTAAGAATGCATGTTTAGCTGCTTGTTTCCATGGAGATATGATTGCTTTGACTGGAATGTAAACATATCTATCTGTCGTTTGTTTAATTGCAAGTGTTTTTATTGCTCAAAAACATGCATTCTTACTGTAAGCAGGGTTGCCTCTCCACAGATCTGACCTGTACCTTGGTCTTGCGGTGTCATCTGCCTCAATGAAAATAGATAAGTTTAATATCATACTGTGGAACATTCCAAACAAAGCAATAACATCTCAATAGAGACAAACAAACAGGTGGCAGACCCTCCCCACTTACATAGTGCACCTTTAATGCCATACTGCGAGACATTCCTGGCAAAGCAATAACATCTCCATGGAGACAAGAAGGTGAAAACATGAAAACCTGTCACTGTAAACAAAATAACGTGTAAGTATCAATGTGCACAGTCAGAGCGACACTGGGTTTTAAATGTAATACATTTTTTTTGCCCTTTTTTGGATCATTTCTTATTTAAAACTACAAGGGAAATGGTGTAGTGCACTTCTAGACCTGGATTAGTCCTAGATTAGACCTGGGACAGTCCTGTTATAGACCTGGTGGTACTCAAAAAAGACGACCTTGGTTATATTTGGTGCGGAACGCTTGACACACTGGACTAGACCATTGTCATTTGGCACCATCTTGTGGCAAATGTGTGTATGTTTTGTTGGCTTTTTTTGTTTGTTTGTTTTTTTACATATCAGTCCATGCAGAAATATGAACTGACAAATAATCATATTTCAGAACATGTTTGTACAGATCTAAACTACAGAGTTAGCCGTTTAAGACAATAAGAGAGGGCATTTATTTTGTTGACGGAGGAACGTGGGCAGCGTACTTCAAAAAAACTGCAGCCTTTGTAATTTGCCAAATGTAATTATTTGATGCCAGTTCTGCTCCTAATGTAGAGATCCGTCTGCAAAACAAAAATAACAGTGAGACAATCAGCTGTGTGTGCCTCCCCCTCCACGCCACCCGGACCAAAACATCAATAAACCGGACTGAGCTCCTATTGGACGAAACGCGTTTGAAAAATCCACTTGCCAGACTCCGACGGTGCGTTTGAATTTATGTTTAGTACACTGCGCAGGGACGTATATTCATTTCCCACCGTTGTTATTTTGATAAATAAATTACAATACAAGCAAAATATGGTAACAAGTACTATTTAAATCAGTTATGAGTGTCTAAGTGTGAAAAGTGGTAGACTTGAGACAAATAGCATAGAGTTTATTCATTCAATTTAAGTGGGATGGGCGGGCTTGTGGTTTGAACCGTGTTTAAACTTTCTATTTCGAAATATTGCCACTTAAAATAGTCAAATATAATATAAAGATTAATAATTGAACTCTAAATGACAATCTAATGAAGCTTAAGTTAGCTAAATGTTATATTTCTTCATACCGGGCTTACGTGTAAGACAAAACAAACGCACCCTGGACAACGGCATCCCTAGCAGCGCTCTGATTGGTCGAATCTCTCAAATTCCAGTCATTCAAATCTGCAAAGCGGAGGAGGTCTATTTTTCGTTTCTCTCAATCAAAACGCGACAAAGGTGGGTTTTAAACGCTTTTAACCGAATTACACACGGATTTCGAGCAAAACGAGAGCACACGAAGAGGATCAAGGCAGTTTTGTGCAGGTAAATGCGTCAAATCGTGCGTAATTTTTCATACTTTGCATTCACGTGTTGAAATCCTATCCATAACTATACAACAACTGAATTTTCGCGGTTTGTTATGCCCAAATTTATGCCAAAAACTAGATTTAACTTACAAAAGCAAATAGAAAACTGGTTGTATTGTATTGCTAGCATGTGCATGAAGTTATATTGTTGTGTTTTGTTTTGCAGATCGGTGGAAAAAGACTAGACGACATGCCGTTTACAAGGGGGAAGAAGCCAACGGTGTCTGCAGCGAGTAGACTGCCCAAACTGAGCACAAGATCGGAAGAAAACCTGGTAATTCTAGTTCTAAATTATAATACCAGATTTTATTCACATTTTGCACCGCTGTTTGCATATGTTGGTTGAGTTTTTGTTGTGCGGTTTTTGTTCTCTTGGACCAATGACGCAACCTCAGCTGTAGATGGATAAATACTTTACATGATTTTAAATGGGACCAGGGTTACACGTCTCAACACATATGTAAAAATTATTGTCAGTTTCTTGAATTCATAGCAATTTATAATTCAGAAACCAAACTAAGCATTAACTAAAGCCTGTTATCTTGTGCATTGGCATTGATTTAATTGTTTTTTAATCAGAAAATTATCATTAAACTCACAGAGTCCAAGCTTTACATGACAGCAAGTCAAAATTTCAGTCTATTTTTTCCGTATTTCCCTTATTTAATTTTACTGTGATCTATTTTGGAAGTATTTTGGTTTAGAAACCTGGTCAGCCAACTGTGCTTCATGTTGCTGTCCAATCTTTGTATGGTACTTTACAAAGTGAAAAGATTAAATGTGGTTTGTTTGGTTATGATGTTTGAAATTGCTAATTACACAAACTTTTCGCACAGAAACTATTACATCTGTACTGTTAAAATTAACCTAACTAGACCTGAATATATTTGTTTTTAATCCAACTTAGTACGACTACATTTTTAAAAATGTATTTATTTTTTTTAGACATATTGCAATTTCCATTATATCTGGATATGTTTAAAAAGTAAGATTCTATGCTCATTGTAAGCAAAACTAATACAAGAATCTCATGCATTTTAGAACATGTTTGTAGATGTGTAAACCACAGGTCTAAACCATATTTTTCTATACAAAGTGTTGATTGCATTTTTGATTACAACATTTTTGTATTTTTACAGGAATAATTTAAATCACCATTTATAAATTTGATTCATAGCCCCTGTTATTGTCTGTAAGGGTCAATGATTTTTGTGATATTACAGTGTTTTTGTTGTTGTTTCAGGAGGAGGGGTCACAGGTCAAAAGGTCGTCCTCTCCGCCCACTGGAGCGCCCAAAAAGAGGACGGCGTTCATCGACATCACAAATGTAAGTTCCACCACACTCACTACTTTAAATGCATGTTTTGAAAGTGTTTTGAGAAGAGATTGGATAAGTACAGTACAGTGGGTGTGGTGCAGTTTTAGCTTCAAGTGCCAGTTTGTTTGTTGAGAATGGATCCACTGAGGATTTGGTTCAGTTATCAATGTATTTTTTGTATATAAAAAAATAAATAAATAAAAAGAAATAGTCTTTTATTGATACTTTGCAGGTGATGCCATCAATATTCCCTGGGGGTGTGATGCTATCTAGAGGCACTGCTCTATCTGAAGCTTGTTGGACTTTAATCTGACCTTTATTTGAACACAATCTTAACAGAAAAAGCTGGTTTAGGTGGAATTTCAACTTGATTTAATTTCAAGTTTCATTTGAAAAACTGAAAATTTTTTGAATTTGAATTTAGGCTGTTAAACAAGTCTCTCACACTTAAAATAACAGTCATAATCTAGGTAGTATTAGCCAGTAGTTTTTCAGTTAGTCACCCTCATCTTTTTGTTGAAAATCAAGTTCCTAAACAGGACCATGAACACTCGTATTGATCACAGGCTCCTGCAAATGTGCTGTTTAAATCCATTTTGTATGTTTTCTTGAGCTTTCAGACAATTGAGGACAGTGTTGGCTTGTATGTACATTATGTCACCATCAATATTCCACCATAGAAACGATTAGAACACCCCCAGTCCCTGCAAAGTATCAATATTGAATAAACTGTATCACCAAAAGCCTTTCCCTTGACCTTGGCTGGTTTCTGGATCTCTTCTCCACACTGAACTGTGAATGTCTCTGCACTGTGGTGTGAAACGGACCTCACTTTAGCCGAGCGTCGCTGAAACCCGTTTCATTGTTAGACTGATGTACTGCGCCTCTGTGAGAGAATGAGGTGGCACTTTTATGTCTGTGTGTTGACATTGTAGTTGTACTCAAGTGCTAAAATAATCTGCATTGAAACTAGGGATGGTCCAATAATAGATTCTTTTCAGATGCTTAATCCAGAATAATCACTCTGCTCTCGCTGAGCGTCATGGCAACTATTTAAATCTGACTGATTGAAATGTCAAAACAGCAGAACAAGCTGAAAAAAAAGTTGATTCCAGTTAAGAGAAAAGCACAGGCATACAGTATTCCCTGTCCACAAATGCTCAAAGCGCTTATCTTCTGCACGTTTTTCACAAACTAAATAATTCCATATACATACAAAAATACTGTACGCTGTAGTACATCTGTTGGCGTCGCCATGTTTGTTTTGGTATTCTTGAGCGTTCTTGGTGCCTCAATGTGACGTGATTGGTTGCCTATTTAACCTTACACTGGAAATCCTTCAAGATGGATTCTCGTGAGATTGTGAACTCACAAATATCACGAGAATCTATCTTGCTGCACAAGGTTACTACTTTCAACTCCAAACTCTGGTTGTGTATAATGACATTCTGAATTTGTCAAGCATCTATTTAGAAAGGGAGAGAGTGGGACAAAAAAAATACAGTATAAAATAGCTTTCCTGTGCTCATTGGTCTGCTCCAGGCTCATAAAGTTGGGATCAGTCTTCCCGGGAGAAAGAAGGAGGCCTCAAAGAAAATTGTGAAGAAGTCTGCAGTCGCCTCCAGCTCCGTGTCGGCCAAGAACCAAGTCAACCTCATCAAGTAAGAACATGGTTATCTACTGACTTTTCACCGCTGAAGGGGTCTGACCAGCCAGTAGTTTCTACATTTGGTGTCTGTAACCGGATCATAAGGACCTCAAACTGTCAAACGGTTAAACTACAGCTGTGCTTTTTGTACTGTTCTGTTTTCTTTTTTACTTTTTGACCTGATCAGATCATGCAGGCAGTATAATATAGTACAGATATATTGCATGAACAGCTCTTGGTTAAAATAAGTCAGCTATATTCTGTCTCAGTCTAATTTAGAAAGTAAAAAATTGGTACAAGCACCTTTTAACCTGTGACTGTTTGTGTCATAGGTCCTCCTCTGTGAGCTCTGATGAGTCGTCTGTCGAGATCGAAAAAACTGAAGAGGTCAAGGTCAAGCTGGAAGAGCAGGAGGTCAAGGTCAAACAGGAAGTGCAGGAGGTCAAGCTAGAAGTGCAGGAGGTCAAGCAGGAAGTTAAACAGGAAGTCCAAGAGGATACAGCGACTCCGGTCGAAAAGCTGGAGTCCAATGCTGCGCCCTCTACTGTCCAAAAAGTACCAGCACACCTCCGGAGACAGCAGGTGAAACACTGAACCACAAAACATTTGGGTTTTTAAAATGGACCCAATAGTAACTTGGGCGGCACACCTTAAATGCTCTGAATTATTTCAAGTCTGACGATAATGCACTAAAATCTTTAAAAGTTTTATATTATGCAAAATTTACTCTTGTGAGCTTTAAGCCGTAGAATGTTGTTGCCGCCTCAAAAACACATCTGGAGTTGTATTTTATTTCATTCACATGTTTGAGTAATCCTGCAGTATTAGTCTATCTACATCTCCAAAGCTCAAAATGCTCTGTGCCACCTTGTGATGTCATGTAGTGGTAGGTTCCCAGTTAACAGCTACAGTTTAGTTCAGTAAAGATTGTAAATGCCAGGGCTGAAATCATCCAAGTTATTCCAGTGAAGGTGTAATGGAGTGTGGGTATTACTTACATTTACTTATTACACTTCTATAGGTTTTTTAAAAATTGCTAACACATGCCATATTTAGATCACCATGTTTATTTAAAACCGTACATGTTGCTTTCTGCGAATATAGCATTTCAAAACAATAATTTTGTCTTTTTCCAGATCCCAGCTGAGTTTGACATAGACGCGGAGAACAGGGAGGACTGCGTCATGTGTCCAGAATACGCCAAAGACATCTTCGACTACCTCAAACAGAGAGAGGTCGCTCACACTTCACCAAACTCTCAAACTATAAGCAAACAAAAAAAAAAGATCAGATTTAAGTTGGTTTTGATCCACAGGAGAAGTTCGTGCTGCCGAACTACATGTCCCTGCAGTCCAGTCTCAACCCCGAGATGAGAGCCATCCTCATAGACTGGCTCGTCGAAGTTCAGGTGAGGGACATTGTGTTTTGGTTATTTAAAGGTGTAACATGTAACTTTTCTGGCAGTAGAGGTCTGTTCCATGGAGATGTTGTTATTTTGCCTGGAATGTTCCTTCTTCTTCCATATTTTCTTTTAGAGGTGGCTCAAAAATAACCTGACCAACATACATTCTTACAGACAGAGGGCTCGCTTCTTCACAGATCATACTTGCAACTTGTCATGGTGACGTCATCTGCTTGTCTGGGCGGAGATATGAGTTTATTGTCGTACTGCGGAACATTCCAGGCAGATCAATTAAACCTCGAAGTGGACAAGCAAGTGACGGAGCTGTGAAAAAAAAATAGAATTACTGGTAGAGGTGACTTCATATGGATTTGGCTGTTGCTTCAAGTGAATTTGCTCCCAGCACTAAAACGACAGTCTTTGTGAAGCTAATGCGAGTTTGCTCTGCCCACAGGGGAGCCGAGAGAGTTTTATCTTTACCAATGTCTTTGTTCATTTATATGTAAATCTGCTGTCTCTGATGCTGGTGGTTTAACGTCCAGGCAAGCTCTGAATGTGACTGGAGGCTTAGATAATACAGACCTAATTCTTCTAAGGATGGGTCAAATGTAGGACACATTTCCCTATTTGTAGCAGCATTCCCTGGGAGTAAGATGCCAACCTAAACTTTACCATGAACGCTCGTACTGATCACAGGTTCTTTAAAAATGCCATTTCTTTTCTATGTTTTCAGGAAAACTTTGAGTTGTATCATGAGACCCTGTACCTGGCCGTGAAGATGACTGACCACTATCTGTCCAAGGCCTCTGTGCACAGGGAGATGCTCCAGCTGGTTGGCTCCACCGCCATGCTCATCGCCTCCAAGTTTGAGGTCAGAGTTTAAGAAATAATTACAAATATTTGGGGTGTTTATTACGCAACAGATCCAAATGTGTTTTATCCTTCAAATCACTTTCTGAAAAGGTTTGTATGAATAAAAGTTCAAACATTAAGAGACGTTCTAGGCCTAAATCAGCCTGTTTAATAGTCTAATAACATCCAGCTAAAGGTCCAGTCAGGATATCTGCTTAACCAATAACATGGAACGGGAATTTTTTTCAGTATCAGCACCAATATTTGATACCAATATTGGTGCGTCCCATAAAGCAGGCTGTAGTTTGGTAATATGTGTATATGTTAATATGTTCTTTGAGACCTAATCCTGTGTCTTATTGGGCCTTATTCTGCTTAAAAGCTGCTAACCCTGTAGTTTGGACCTTGACAAACATGTTCTGAAATGTGTGGGATTCTTGGATCAGTTTAGCAGTTCAGATTTCAAACTTCTTTCAAAATGTGAAATGAGCACATTTCTCTTAAAATAGTTTGACTTTCCTCTGTCCAAAAAGCCTCAAACACAGTGCTTTTGGTTGCGTTTACAGGAGCGCAGCCCGCCGTGTGTGGATGACTTCCTGTATATCTGTGATGATGCGTACAAGAAGGAGGAGCTAATCTCCATGGAAAGCAGCATCCTTCAGACACTCAGCTTCGACATCAACATCCCCATCTCCTATCGCTTCCTCCGCCGCTACGCAAAGGTACTGCCACTGGTGTTATTATGTTTATATATTTGGGTGTGATATGTGTTCAGTGCTAAGGTTTATGAATGATTCCTTAGGCAGGAAAATCTCATCTTTTTCTCGCCATTTTGAAGCCAAAACAGGTGATCTACGTGAACTGTGAATTCGATGAGAAACGTTTTAGTAGGAGAGGGGGGTGAGAACATATTTCATTACGGCTGCTGCTGATTGAAATAAACTTGTACCAGTGCTTCAAACAGCATGTGCGTTTGTCTGGAGGCCGTGGACATTGTGCGGTGCATCACAAACACACATGCTCCCAGCACTTGTCTGCAGCAACAGCATGTCCACTTGTGTACCAGCACAGAGCAGGCCTACTGCGATATATGGACTGAAGTTTGCCTAATAAAATGCCAAATACGTTTGTCACGATGCACATTTGACTTGATAAATGTGCAGAGGCTGCTAAATACCACTGTAAAACCAGTAAGAGAATGTAATTCCAGTTAGGAATTTGAAAATACAGGTTTAAAAATCCTACTCACTTTCTTCACTTTGAAAGAGTTTTGTGTAAAGTGCCAGTGGAAGTTCTTAAAGAAGGGGTTCTCAAACTGTGGGTGAGGGTCCAAGTGTTTAAGTGTAATACAGTTTGCTTGGCTTATTTTATGCCTAAGTGTTTTTATATATATATCTATATATATCTATATATCATATATCTATATATATATATATATATATATATATATATCATATATATATATATATATATATATATATATATATATATATATCATATATATATATATATATATATATATATATATATATATATATATATATATATATATATATATATATATATATATATATATATATATATATATATATATATATATATATATATATATATATATATATATATATATATATATATATATATATATATATATATATATATATATATATATATATATATATATATATATATATATATGATATATATATATATATATATATCATATCTCGTCCAAAATAACTGTAAAATACAAATAAATGTAAAAAATGACAAAGATGGTCTCGATGTGTTCTCAATGGGCCGTAGTCTTGGTCTCGACCCTGTGGTCTCAAACTGGTCCTGGTCTTGGTTAGTGCCATTCGACTTGACTACAACAGTAGTGCATATACTGGTGAATCACCATTCATTTAGATAAGGCCTGGTCTTATTAACCCGAAATAAATGCCCCAGGAGCAGGAGCAGAGGCCCGCCTGTCTGACCCCCTCATGCCCCTGTCTGCCCCTGTCTGCCCCTGTCTTACCTTCTTTCTCCTGTCTGCAGTGTGTGAACGCAGGCATGGACACCCTCACTCTGGCCAGGTACTTCTGTGAGATGAGTCTTCTGGAGATGGACCTGGTGGTGGAGCGTGGATCTCTGTTGGCTTCAGCCTGTCTGCTGCTGGCTCTACTCACCAAAGACCTGGGTGGATGGGTACGATTAAACACACGCTTTTAACACAACGTTTCATTCATGTGCGACTAAAATGTTAGTTAACATCATCATTATTTCGATTTTCAGTAAAAATCTTGCCTAGTTTTGTATATATTTTTATTTTGGTGAATCTTATACTTTTATTTCCTGGATGAACATGGGTAGCAGATATGGAATTACCTGTATGTCATAACTGTCGCCTAGTAACCTGTCGGGGAATTTACCCCAACCTCAATCATTAAAGAACAAGCCAGAGACACAGTGGTTTGTTTTACTTGCATAAGGAGTAGAAGAAAGCTACCTGCCTCATCCTAACTGAAGCTCCCTTCTCCCCACAGCACTTTTATTGTAGAGCATCACACAATTATCACACAATAGGTTACATGTTGTTCAAATGTTATCTATGACTAACAAGCTTCGGCTGACACAGCCCCCGATGACACACTTGATTTCATGTTCCAGGTGACAGACAGTGTCTTAGTACTTTCCCCAGGGTCCCGTGTCAGCCTACGGCGTCTACAATATTTAGCTTAATGAGTCAGCAGACACATCAACCACATCAGCTGATGTGTTCATGTTACATACAGCTTGAACAAAACACAAAGCAATTTTGATAACCTTATATTGTACAATGATTAACATTTGAAATGATTCATACTTTAAATGAGTAATACTTATAACACAAAAATTCTCTAACATTTCCCTCCTGTTTATCAATATTGCTTTACCTCAGAGCACTATAACTTCTAAACAGATTTTCTATAGTCTCGTCATTTAGCATAGATCTAAACAGAATTGCCTTCGATATTGTTATCACGCTTCAGGATAGTTAGCAACGCTTCATGTTCTTCAGCTACATTAATTTCAACCTTTTCAAACATTCTGTCAAACACTCTAATTAGGAGCAAGCGTATACATGAAATACAACATAACATAAAAACACTTATACAACACACATACTGTAAACAAGGGCCAAAACTGGTCTAAATCAGGCAATAGTTTAGTTCATTACACTAATTTAAAAAAAAAACAACAACACATACAATGACAAATTTTGGTCTAAAGTGGTATGGTGCATTGTGTTTTTCTCACAAAAATACTTTCACTGACAAATCCCAAATACAAGTACACTCTATGACATAAGATATGAGCTGCACACACTTAACACTGACAAAACCAACTGTGCTTTGAAATGACATGTTCATGCTGTTTTCTCTCTGTTGTGTCCAGACCCCGTGTTTACAGTTCCACTCAGGGTACGACCTCTGTGACCTCAGCCCTGTGGTCAGAAAACTCTACTTCAGTCTGTCTGCACCTCTGGACGACCGGCTCAAAGCCATACGCAACAAGTACTCTCACAAGTATGTATAAAAGTATGATGCGCAACAAATACTGACACAAGTATGTTTAAAAGAACTACATATACGCAACAAGTTCTCATACTAGGACTGTCATAGTCATTATATTGACTTATCACTCAATACATTTTTTTTTGTTAAACAATAAGTATTTGTTAATTTTCGTGTAATATAGCAGGACTGGAGCTGTACAGGGTTGAATGAGTCACTCCTATGGTTAATTATTTGTTGAAATGCATGGATTTTTATGATTCTTTCTAATTAGAAATGGTTTATATGGGTTATCCCGCTTTATAGTTGTGTCAGCAACATAAAGTAGTTTCAATATTATAATTTATTACATTAGTATATTTCTAAATGAATTCATTAATGAATTAATCATTGGATTTATACAAGCTCCCGAAGTGCCTGTCATTAGTGAATGACTAATTCAGTGGCATGAATTAGTCATTCATGCCACACTCCATGTTAATTGAGTTACTATAATAGCCACACCTGCAAGTTTCCCATCCAAATATTAATCAATCTCAGCCTTTTGACGTCTGACAAGATCAGGCTTTGACAAGCTGGTATGGTCACAAATGTTTTATTGTGACTACCGTAACTCATACATGTAAAATATTTGTGTAATATCGGACCTTTTAAAAAGTAAATAATTTTTTTCCCCCTGTCTTTCTTGTTAAAACCTTAAATTCTTGTCTTCCAGGGTGTTTTTTGAAGTGGCAAAGTTGCCTCTGGTGGACCTGGACATGCTGGAAAATGCTTTGTTGAAAAAAGAGAAAACGGAAGAACCGGTCTGAGCTTAACCATGCGCTCATCTGTAAATACTGTGAATACATTTTATATTTATACATTTTGTGCGTCTTTTACTCTAAAATCTGCATTTCCTTTGCAACCGAAGTGTTCAAACGTGGGCATTTATTTTCATGTTTTTTGCCAGTACGTTTTAGCATTTTTATTTAGTTATAATGCGATTTTAAAGCCTTTTTATAATCCCAATTAAAGAAAAGCCCTGTTGTGTGTAAACAGTGAAGAATTGTAATTGCAGCATTCCTTTTCACTGTTTCGGAGCTGAATTTACTAGTAAATGAAGTTGTTGCCCATGTGTTTTATAGTCTGTTTTGTTACTACCAAAAGTGTATTTTCAAACCTTGTACAGTTTATCATGTCCATTCAGTATTTGTACAAAAGACGACAAAATGAGAAGCTGTTTTAAAATGCTGTCATGCATACTCTTAAAATAAAGTCTTTTGATATAAATGTTAATTACTTTTGATTACGTTTTTATAGGTTTTCAACTTTATGCTTATAAGCGACATTTTGAGAACCTTGCACTTAAATTAAAAAGAGATTTGATTTCTAAATTGTCATGGCAACAGTGCTCATTTTTCATCTTACTGAAACCTTATGGAGTATTAGATGGCGGGCAAGGGCCTATATTATTCTAACTGTGGGAGATTTAGTGTTTTGGAAGGAAAGATCCAAAATAAAAACTCACAAAAATTGAAGTTTATCATTATTTGTTTGGGTTTGGCTCCACAAACTTGTCATGTTAATCTTCAGTCTTAAAATCCTTTCAACTGACAACAGACTCGTCTTTAGAATTCACTAATGACAGGTACCTTTTTGTGAAGCTATTATGAAAAAATAATCTGCTCATGTTTATTTATACAGATAGAACACACTGAACTTTGTGATGGTACATGGTGATCTTTGTGTTTCATAATTACAGAGATATTATCCATAAACCAGGTCTTTAAATCTGCAAATAGAAGTCTGACCTTTCCTACAGCTCAGTTTAAGCTATAGGGATTCTACAGTGTGCTCATGTCACGGGAACACTGCCTGTTTTTTTATTTTATTTTTTAAAATAAATTTAGTTTGAATTCATTTTATGAAGTTAAACAAGATTGGACATGCAGCACCGATTGAGTATCATAGTTGGATGTAATAAGATCATTTTAGCCTAGAAAATCTCATAATGTTTGAACTTTTATTTATTTAAAAGGCCCATATTACACTATGTTCTGATTTGTTATGTTTCCTCATCACAAACAGACCTAGAGTTGTATTTTGTTTCATTCAGATTTAGGCTGAGTTCTTCTCTCAAACAGAAAACACTCTGTTCCACCTTGTGATGTCATGTGGTGATACAGGAAGCGTTCCTGTGTTTTTAAACTCCATACACCTTCACTAGAATCATCAGATAATTTCAGTCCTGGGATTGCCGTCTCTACTGAACTGATGGTAAAAAGGGTAGCTGTTAACTTGAAAACTAGAGTGACCTTATTTAATTTTGAGCTCTGTGTCCCCTGTCCCTGCAGCTTTATCCAAAACCAGTGATTTCTCCAAGAAATGTCCCAGGTGTCCCTATTTTTGACCAATCTGATCCCTGCCAACAGTAAAGAGAGGCATAACCTGTTTAATTTGTTTAGGTCAAATACAGAAAAGCTGCTTAAAAATGACAAAAGGCACAAAGAAATCGTGACTATACTGACTCACATTAGTGTCAAGTGCATAACATTTTTCCGTAATTACGCACTCGTTTCGCAATTTTATTATTGCCAACCACCACAAACCGAGAGTGTCCCAGTTTTTTATTTGGAAATTGCAGTCACCTTAATTACATGACATCACACGGTGGAACAGATCATTTTGAGTGATTGAGATGCAGACAGACTAATAATAAAGGATTAGTCAAACACGTGTGAATGAAACTAAAACTTCAGGTATGTTTGTTATGACGTAAAAACATGATAACACCTTTTAAGGCTGTGGTTATTTGAAGGTTAAATAACAGTTGGATCTCTTGTGTAAGACCTTAACTGTGTTTTAAGAAAATAAGTGTTATTTTCCGTCCACCACTCTTGTATCAGTTAAAGGTGCACTGTGTAACTTTCCTGGTAGAGGGTCCGCCACCTGCTTGACTTTATGTAGATGCTTGTTTTTCCCAGAGGATGGCATCTAATTTTATTATCTCCATGGAGACAAGCAGGCCACATGACCAGGCCAAGTTACAGGTCAGGAGAAGTTCACCGTAATAATACATGTTTCCGTGGTAGTTTTTTTTTTTTTTTTTTTTTTTTAGTATAATTTTTATTGACAGTCAAATAGAGATGACAGTTTCAAATCAAAGAATACAAGAATTTGCTTTTTCTTTTTTTCCCCCTTCATCCTTCTTTCACTTCACATATCTTGCTATGATAGTATTCAAAAATAATTTCTTTTTATCTTTTTTCCCCCTTGTTCCGTAAAAAGTACAAAGTAAGAAAGTAAAAAACAAACAAAACAACAACAACAAGAAAATAACATTTGAACACTTGAGTGGCAGTGAACGGATTGTCACAGATTTTTTTTTTTTTTTTTTTTATGTTCGGGTGTTAATAAAGTCTTTCCATGGTTTCCAGCCTTCCTGTCGTATTCCAATCTTTGTGTGAGTGTCAGTCTTTCCATTGGTTAAATGTCTTCCACGATGTTAATCCAGTCCTCCAAATTTGGTAGTTTGTCGCTCATCCATTTTGGTTATTACTTTCTTGCTTGCAACCAGCAGAATGTTCCCTGAATATTTTTTTGTTCTTTTGATGTCATCTGTCCGTTTGCCTAAAAACATAGTTTCAAATTTTAAACGGATCGTTACTTTAAATGTCTCAATGTTTTGTTTAATTTTCTCCCAATATTGATTCAATTTGGGGCAGCTCCAAAAACGTGATAATGCCCAGCATTTTTATTCCTACATAATCTCCAACACGATGTATCCACCTTTAAACCTCTCTTCCGTGGTAGTTTTGAGAAATAAAAACTCCTACAGTTGAATAAATGCAAGATATATTTGTTTAATGCCATACTGTGGAACATCCCAAGAAAGGTAATAACATCATCGTGGAGACAAGCAGATGACAGATGCCCCTCCACCAGAAAAGTTACACAGTGGACCTTTAACAATATTGGGAATGAAGTGAATACATGTACCCTTGGGTGGTTTTCTACTAAAATATTTTAAATGTTGAAATTGAATTTTTCTTAAAGTTTCAGGTTGTTCATAATATTATAATATAATAATAAGAAAGAGTTCATCAATTAAAAAATATTTCTGTTTCTCTGCACAAATATTTGAACTTATTGTTATTTTTGGGGTTTATATGCCATGAGTTTTCTGATCCGGCCCCTTTGGGATCAAAGTAGGTTGGATACGGCCCCCGGACCAAAATTAGTTTGACACCCCTGTTGTAGACGTTTTATTTTTCCTGCATTTCCGGCGTTTCCCAGTAGATGACGCACTATTTATACATTGAGATGCGGCGTATTATGTTGGCCGCAATGCTTTATGGGAAAGTGTTCTTGGCAGGAGTTATTCGGACCATGAGTGAAGTAGTTGGTGTTCAAGATATAAGACTGCACTGTTTTAAGTGTAAGTAGGTAAAAATCAAAATGTTAAAAAGAAATGATTCTTTATCTTTGCTAACCACGTGAGCAATTCTGAAGAGTCTAGTCTTTCCTCAATTGAAGTCGTACGTTGGTAGCAGTAAACAATGGATTTTGATGTCTAGGTGCTGTATAATAGGATTTGATAATGATTAGCTCATGACGTTCATTCATCTGTTGTGTACAGTGGAATAGGTCTATACACTTGTATGTGTTCTGATTCTTTCACGGCAGCGTTGAAGTGCGTAGTGCGCGTCCGAAGTCCTACGTAAGCTTGAATATGAATGTAACGAAGCCGAGCTCTTAACACGTGATGTCCTGTCTTCTGTCCGGCCCTTCAGTCAAATTTTAGGACCCTATGTGGCCCGCGAGCCAAAAAGTTTGCCCACCCCTGCACTAATCTGTATTCCACTGTGTCGTGCCATATCAGCACATAAGAGTTATTTTTTATTTTATTTTGCTTCGCTTAGTTTATGCAAATTAGCCATGAGGTTTTAAGTTTCCTTTTCTTTGAGACTTGCTCAAAGCTGCATTAAACACATTATAATGTCAAACTGACTGATGTGGCTCTAGAGCGGTTATGATTTATATGTCGTAAAGTTGAATTTATGCAGATTAGTAGTGCAAATAGTAATAATAATGATGATAATTTTAATATAAAAAACGTTAATGATTAATCGATAATTGATTGTTAATTCTCCCGATGATTGATTAAGAAAATTTAATCGAATGTCCATCCTTACTTCAGAGTACAGATTTTTTGTAACTATTCAAGTAGTTACTTTTCTAAAATCTATAGGATATACTGCGGTTTTTTATTACACATTTTAAGATTCAAACTTCTCATAGTCAGTGGGAAAAATAGAAAATACACGTGAGGCATATGTTTTCTTTAGTACTGGAAATACACAACAAAAAATAAAACAGACCCAAAGCTATTTTAATACTACATTGTGTCTACCCTATCATTTAAATGCAGCTCAGTGTAAAAGTATTCTAAGTATTCAGAGGACAGTGCACCAATTGAACCATGTATCAGAGTATGTTACAAAATACATTTTATTAGAGTATTCTGTAACTACATTTTCAAAGTATTCTTCCTTTAATTGTAAACTTTTCTGGTGAAGGGACGGCAAATGCTTTTCTCCATGGTGATGTTGTTACTTTTTCTAGATTATGACTTTTTTCGTAGAGACAAGCGGGCGATGGTCCCTCCACCAGAAAAGTTACACATTGCACCTTGAATATCAGGTATCAACAAATTTTAAGTTTACATTTCACACCTAACTGCACCTTATTAATTTAGGTTTCAAATATTACTTCCTAGTTGGAAATAATGACATCACACCGGGGAATTCCAGAATGACAAATTCAATTAAAAGAAAATACCTTTCCTTTGTTGAAATCATAATTAAAGTATCAGAAAAATTTGTTTTGTAAGTGTCTGTATTTTGGACAGAATTCTCCCGAGCTGTCACTCTGGGAGCCTAAAATAGAACTCCACGTACAGCAATTTTCAACATAATTTTCAACTTTTCTTCAGAAACTGCCTCTCATTTGAAAATGATCATTTATTTTTAAAACAGGTCTTACAGCACCAAATTAAGTAGAAATTGTTGGAACTGAAAAAGCTGTATTGGTGCATCACTAAATAAGACTGATTTTTAATACAGTTTAATATATTTAAGAAGTAAGTTAAGAACTAATAAGTAAAGTTTTTATTTCCGAAGTCTGAAGCCTGCTCCAAACCATGTGACTTTGCTGACGGACCTCAAGATGATCATTGAAATTTGAAAAATAAATTGAAATTGTGATGGACAAATATTGCGAATACATTTGTCTAG